CATTCCTCAGCCTCTTCCTCTACTCATTTCTTTCTATATTCCTCCTTCCTTTTTCTCTCTTCTCCCTCTTTTGCCATTTCTTCATCTCTCCCATTTACTTTCCTCGTTTTCCCTTCTTCACATTTCCCCTCCATTCCTCCCTCTCACTCCCATCCCTTCTTGTCCTCCCTCCCTCCCTCCTTCCCTTCCTCCCCTCCGTCCCACCTCCCCCTCCTCTCTTCTCCCTCCTACCTCCCTCTCCCTTCCCTTCTCCCTCCTACCTCCCCCTCCCGCCTCCCTTCTCTCTCCTACCTCCACCTCCCTTCCCATCTCCCTCCTACCTCCCCCTCCCTTCTCTCTCCAACCTCCCCCACTCGCTCCCTCCCCTCCTACCTCCCTCTCCCTTCCCTTCTCCCTCCTACCTCCCCCTCCCGCCTCCCTTCTCTCTCCTACCTCCACCTCCCTCTCCCATCTCCCTCCTACCTCCCCCTCCCTTCTCCCTCCAACCTCCCCCACTCGCTCTCTCCCCTCCTACCTGCCCTCCCTCCCCTCCCCTCCTCCCTCCTCGAGTTAATCTCCTCACAGGCAACGAATCAGTTCCCTTGAAAATTCTAATTTGTGGAGACGACACAGTAAGTCCCCATCTCATTACCACGGTGCTTTCGACCAAGCAAACTGAGATTAGCTGTGGGGGGAAAGGAGCCCTGGGGAGGATAAGGGGGAGGGGGGAGGGAGGGGGAGTGGGAGGGGGGAGTTAGCAGGAGTGGGTAGTAGCAAGAGTGGGTAGGGGGAGGGGGGCTAGAAAGAGTGGGTAGGGGGAGGGGGGGAGCTAGCAAGAGTGGGTAGGGGGAGGGGGGGGATAGCTAGCAGGAGTGGGTAGGCGTAGAGGGGGAGGGGGAGGGGGAAGCTAGCAGGAGTGGGTAGGGAAAAGAAGGGGTTGGCTAGTTTCAAGAGTGGGTAGGTAAGGGAGGATTAGCAGGAGGGAGGGGGAGGGGGGGGGAGCTAACAGGAGTGGGTAGAGGGGCGGGTGTAAGAGGAGTAAGTAGAAGGGGGGGGGGGTAGGATCAGTAGGGAGGAGGGAAAGAGGAGTCAGCCTTAATTAGAAATGCCCATTTTACAGACCATGCTGTGAATGTTGTAATGGCAGCGTGATGATGTGATTCGGTTTGGAAATCAAGTTAGTAGCTTTGTTTCTCTCTCTCTTTTCGGATGTATTCCGTTTTCTCCTTTTTATTTATTTATTTTTTTCTACACCCACACACTACAATGTACGGAACAGCTATGAATGACACAGAAAAAAATGATAGAAAAACTCACTCTACAGAAAACAGCTTTCTTGAAAAAAAAACAATTTCGAAATACTTCTTGATTTCAGTTTCATGTCGAAAGATCGAATCTAGGATAAAGTTTTTAAAAAGCCATTCAGATTCTTCATTCAAAATATCGGAATCACAACCATGAAAGATCATATAAGACTTCTTACAGCACCAATCACTAATCACCAATCACTAATCACACCTAAGCTTCTTAAACAGCAAGTCACTTCCTACTCTCTAAACATTTTTTTTTTTACACTTCCAATCACTTTAAATTTCTTGAACCTCCAGTCACTTCAAACTTCTCACAACTCAAATCACTTTACACTTTTTAAAATTCCCAGTCACCTCCAATCACTTCAGACTTTTTAAACCTCATCACTTAAAACTTCTTAAACCTCCACTCAAACTTTTTCACAACCTCCAATCACTTCACATTTCTTAACCCTCCAATCACTTCAAACTTCTAACAGCCCGAATCACTTCACACTTCTAAACCTCCAATCACTTCAAACTTCCTAAACCTCGTCACTTCAAACTTCTCACAACCCCAATCCCTCCCTACTTCCTTCCGGATCCACGCTACCTTCAGGACGTCCAAAGAAAGTAGATTTCGTCTCCTAATCAACGAGACACTTTTTATAAAGAATTTAAGTTTCGTCTCTTGAGGGAACTTAATTTAGGGAACTTGAGGTAATTTCTTAATCTCGGTTTCACGTTGATGAAGAAGAAGGCTAGAAGGGTGGTGTTTCTTTGATCGCTGTTGTTGTTAATTGAGGATGATGATGGTGGTGGTGATGAGGGTTTTGATGGTGATGATGGTGGTGGTGGTGATGATGATGATGGTGATTTTCTTTTTTTTTCAATTCCCAATCATGATTTCACTTTTCAATTTCTAAACATTTTTTCTTTCTTTTTTTCTATTCATTTTTTTCTATTACTAAACATTTCATTTACTAATATATATATATTTCTTAATACCCAATCATGATTTCAGTTTTCAATTCCCATTTTTAATTTTTTTTTATTCCCAATCATTTATTTTTTTTTCTGTTACTAATAATTCCAGCTACTAAATAAAAAAAATCCCAGTCATTATCTACTTTTTCAATTCCCAGTTTTTCATTTTAATTCCCAATCATGATTTCATCTTATAATCCCCAACATTTTTTTTTCTCAATTCTCAATCATGATTTCATTTTGCA